TGCAGACATATCCATTCCACACCCCCGTCAATGCCAAGGTTGTGAAGGACTACTATAAGATCATCACGCGGCCCATGGATCTACAGACGCTGAGGGAGAATGTACGTAAGCGAATGTACCCATCGAGGGAGGAGTTCCGTGAAGCAGTGGAAGTTATTGTGAAAAACAGTGCCACCTACAATGGTAAAGTCGAAAGAACACAAAACAAAAGACTTGATAGACTTTCAGTTCAAACCCACATCAAAGTGTTGAGGCAGCTCTCTTGTTTTTGTTCCAACAGGAGCGAAACATCCAATAACACAGGTAGCACAGTCCATGCTGGACCTGTGTGATGCAAAACTGAAAGAGGTGAGTGTTAATATGAATGTTATAGTGTCATTTCAAATCTTTCTGCCCTTTTTGTTCCACATTAACTTGTATGTCTGTGTAGAAGGAAGACCGGCTGGTGAGGCTGGAGAAAGCCATCAACCCCTTGCTGGATGATGATGATCAGGTCGCTTTCTCCTTCATCCTGGACAACATTGTGACCCAGAAAATGATGGTGGTTCCCGATGTGAGTCATCTATTCTTACCTGTCTTAATTTAAATCAATTTGGGAGCACTGATCAGTTCACTTGCAGAATAAGTTATTGATCTGTCTCATCTCTTAATTCCTCCCTTCACTGTAGTCATGGCCGTTTCACCACCCTGTCAACAAAAAGTTTGTGCCTGATTATTATAAGGTGATCGTAAGCCCCATGGATCTGGAGAGCATCCGCAAGGTGAGAGTGATACAGGGACCCATTTGAAATGTTTAATATTATATGTTCAGCAATACAAAGAAATTTAACAGAAACGTTGTGTGTATTTCGTTGTTCAACAGAACATTTCCAAACACAAATACCAGAACCGAGATGCGTTCCTTTCAGATGTCAGTCTCATCCATGCCAACAGTATCAAGTACAATGGTAAGGTGTTAACATCACTGTTTCTGTGACCCGTGAGGTCGGTCTCTCTTGAAAACTGCATGACTAACACTAGCACAATTACTCTTTGTGACTTTCACAGGCCCAGACAGTCCTTACACCAAGACCGCCCTGGACATTGTCAATGTGTGCAAGCAAACCTTGGCAGAGGTATGTTGGGTCTTTGCCTTTTAGTTTGCCCTTTTAATGACAATAAGACAACAGTTGCAAAGCAATGCTGGGAACAATGTAAAGGGATATGAAAAGTGTATATGCATGTTATGATAAATTCACATACTCTAATATTGTAGAAAGTGTAATGTAGAAAATATAATGTTGACATAGTTTAGACTTTTACATCACAGAGGGTTTTCCTTGAAAAATAGTTACATCTTTTATTAAATTGCTGCATAATTCGCTATATTGCTTAGATTAGATTTAGACTATGACAACATGTATTTTGACACCGTTTCTTAAAAAGGTTTAGCTCTTTAGAGTCAAATTTGGGCAATGATTTACAATTATTTATGAGAAGGAAAAACATCAGTCAGTGTTGTAATATTCACCTGTTTTTGTGCCTCCAGTATGATGAGCACTTGACCCAGTTGGAGAAGGACATCTCTACTGCTAAGGAGGCAGCTCTAGATGCTGCAGACTTGGAGTGTCTAGACCCAATGACGCCTGGACCGTACACACCACAGGTAGGAGAGCAGCCAGGGCGCAGTTTTTACTTACTAGCTTGGCAAATGGTGGTTTCCTGGGTATCTTGCTGTATTGACAATTAAGCCTCCAACTGTTTGTAGAACGCTTCACCAGTCAGTCTACAGACTTTCCTACTTAGAGCAGTCTCCTTGCCACAACTTGTAGTGCTCCTGGCCCTTGTATTTCTTCGCTTGTTCTCTGCACTAACTCTCCTTTTCCAGACTTTCACGTTTCACTTCTACAGTCTAGTTTCCTCACTGTAGTGTCTCCTTTTTCCCACCCTGTTTTTCTCCTTCGCTCTCGCCGTCTTGTCCTGTCTCTCCATTTGTGTGTGTGTGCGCCGCTCTGTATGGTGTTGGCCAGCCTGCTGATCTGTTTGACAGCGGGGCTTCAGGGAGTCTGCCCAGAGAGACCAGCAGCCTTTTCTCTGAGGGACCTCTAGTGGTTGCTCCAGAGAAGCGAGGGGGGCAGGTATGGAGAGAGACAGAGATAAGGCTTGCAACCACATGCCACCCCTCCTAAAACTTTGCTCAGAGCACCCAGCTTAATTATAGGCTTATGTTAAAGTTTTTTCTCACACTAGAGCATTACAGATAACATTATAGTCTAAACTGAGAGTATTTATTTGGTTTTTCTCGCTCCTGTCTTTCAGGAAGAGTGTTCTCAAATTTTTATCAATTATATTATTATATTCAGGGTCGCCACCTCAGAAGACCAGGGGAGGAAGAGTCAGATGTGGACATTGAGGGCTTTGAGGATGAAGATGATGGCAAACCCAAGACTCCTGCTCCTGTAAGAAAGACAGATTTATTGAAAGGTTATGTTAGTTGCAATGAGGTCAGCACTGCTGTACAAAATAGGTACATATATACCATAACATTCTCCAGTTCTCATAACTGTTGGTGGCTTGATTCAGTTGCAATTTGGGATTTCGTAATTATGTATGTAATTGTCAATTGTTAGGTGATACAATTGGATAATCAATTTCTCTCCACACCTTCATCAATTTGTATGTGTCAGGAGCCCAAAAAACCCTCTTTTTAATTTAAATATTTATTTTTTGAATTTACTTACACTTTTCAACTTGCTTCCTTCTTAGACATTTATTTATGACTGATTTATCTGTCCTGTCTTTGTAGGCAGAGGACGCAGATGGAGATCTAGAGGACGAGGATGATGAAGAGGAGATGTTGCTGCCACTTCGCAGAGGGTTGCATGACCAGGAGGAAGACGAGGAGGAGGAAGAAGAGGACGGAAGATCTAACCGCCCAGCCCAGGCCAGCGTACTGTACCAGGACCTCCTCATGTCTGACGGAGAGGATGATGCCAGCGAAGAGGAGGGCGACAACCCTTTCTCCTGTAAGTCCACCTGCAGCAATATAAACAGAAAAAAGTTTCAATTGAGGCTTAAACATGATACAAATAATGCATGAATGTAGAATATAATGTGACGTGTCTCCTCCAGCCATACACCTGTCGGAGAGTGGTAGCGACTCTGACAGAGAGGTGGATGTTCGACCTGCACCTCCACGGAGAGCTCAGGAGACGGCACGCATGGGCATGGAGCAGGATGAGAGCATGATGTCATATGAGGGGCATGATGAGCCTCACATGGAAGACAGCAATGTCAGGTACAACTGGCCCAATAATACTCAAATCAATTACAGTACTCAACAATGCAGGCGGTTTAAGTCTTGGAAACATCACAAGTTTACAAGCAACTTTTTCCACAGGGAGCATAAGCATTTTGATTTCTTTTTTCATCTACTAAAACGATGTTCCAACCAGCCACTGTCAAAAACTACTTGAAAAAACACATGAAAAAAACAACTGCAGATGGCTGATATATTCGTTCAATCTCCCAACCCTAATACTTGCTGTCTCCAAGAGTAGATGGTCCTTTATCCAGTTATATGGACAAAAGCTATGTTATACCTGAACCACGTAGTTGATTTCCTGGTGGTATCAGAAAATACAGTTTTGATGAAAAAAAAAAATTTCCAACCACAATCTGATTTCATACTGCAACAGCGCGAGTAGTTTTCGACACAATAGCGGGACACAGTAGATCAGGCATCTCAAACTGCCAATCCGGGGACAAAGATGATTACTTTCTTGTATTACTCAAATGCAGTGGGCCCCAAACCAATTTAATTCTGAGACCAGTGCAGTAGATCCACACTTACAGGCTACCTTTCTGAGAAGTTGTTCACCTGCAACCCTTTATCTCACCGTGGCTTACTCCCTGCAATATTTAATATTTCAAATCTTTTTGTGATCTGCTGTCAAAAAATGCTGAACATGACCATGTCTTGTATTGCAGACGGATTTTAGACAGAACGAACAGTTCCTGTCAGCGCTAACCTCTGTGACAAATACACTGCGTTTCCTTCACAATAAAAGCTGACTCATGTTTCATCAGTGACATGGTTTTAAAGTGAAGCAGCAGTATGAAATGTTCAGTTTGTATTAGTAACTTAGCACAGCTTCAACAGTAAGCAGTGTGCAGTTGTGTGGGAAAGGCAGACTCCGCCACTAACAATAAAATTTGACTTCCCTCTCTTTTGTTTCAGTTATGGCAGCTATGAGGAGACAGAGAGCCGGAGTCAGATGCAGCCCTCCAGCATGGGAAACGGAGAAGACTACGGTATCAGTGAGGAGGAAGAGGAAGATGAAGAAGATGAAGCGCGGAGGAGAGGCCCAGCTGTGCTCTCCCAGGTCCAGCTCAGTGAAGACGAGGAGAGTGAAGAGTTCAGATCTATAGGAGGAGACAGCGACATAGATTCTGACAACTAGTTCAATTTTCTTTTTTTTATACGCAGTATCAGGAAAACATTGTTTATAATCCCAGTTTTAAAATGGAGAAAATAATTATATTTCTCTGGGGAATGTATTATACATTGATCTTATTTTGTAAATGATTGTTTATAGCTTCCTCCTGTACCTAAAGTATTGTGTACAACACAGCACATTGTAAATTTCAGTTTGCCTTTTTATATGTTGAGCGAATATTGTGTACTATGACGTATCTCAAGACGGAAGTGTGTGTTCAGTTGTTTTGTACTGTTTTAGCATATTCATATCCTGCAATCACAAATAGCTGACTAATTAAAAATAATCATACTGAAGATTAAAAACAAATCATATGTAAAATCTAGTATCCATACGTCTACTTCTTCCTCCAGAAGACCTTACAGGTCACAAACTACTAGACTCATAGCATCTCAACAAACAAAAGATTAAAGGTAAAACATGACTGGGTTGATTTTATTTTATTGACTGGTCAGTGGTTGAAAATCATGGCAGCCATTTTAACAGGTCACAACAGAAAAGTAATAATGTCAAAGACAGGGTCGTGGTATTATGCATGTGGACTCTTATATAGTGGGACACTTATAATGGAATGCAGCCATTGATGTTATTAGTTACACCTGTGCTTTTATTGAAAGCTCAAACTTGAAGCTTGTGCTGATTATTTCATCACTTTCTTATTAACTTGTAGTAAACAGTTTTTTCTACAAGTAAACAAGTGGAAGATATAATCAGTACTAATCAGCATGAAGAAGACAGTTTTGTTGATATTTCTTCTCAGTGTTTTTCTCAGTTATAAGTAGTAATATGTTTTATGGAGAATATCTAGAGTTCAGTCATAAACATTATGAACAGTAGTAGGTACTCCAAACTGTACTCATTATACAGTCTATTAAATGTCTCCAAAATATTCTGGACTGACTACATGTTAGTATTTTTTGTGAAATGAGAGGTAACAAACACGTATAATCTGAACTTGTATGACCCACTCCGATTTCTTTACCAGTTCACCATGATAAGCATTTGCACATTGGCTTTGTTCCTTAAACATTGAATTTGTGCTGCGTTTAAAGTGTGTCAATGGATCCCATTCAGGCACAAAAAGCAGACAGCAGATCAAAGAGGGCCGACTTGATAGATTTGCTATGAATGAAAGAAACCACAGCAGTGTAAACAGCAGCTGGAACACAATAAGAGAAATGTACCTTTATGAGAGAGGTCATGACATCTACTAGATCTTTGCTTTATGTAAACATCTAAAAGCGTTTCCCGTTAAATAGTCATCAAAGTTCATCAGATATAAATTGCAATAATAATTTGTTACTGATATGTCTTTTCACAAAAAGTTAAATAATCTTTGAAGTTCATCTATATATATATATATATATATATATATATATATACATCTATTCCTCTTTCATTTAAAATCCAAAACCTATAGGTTGAATTGCTGGACAACTTCACTGTAAAGTCCATTCTCAGTTTATGTGCAAATTACACTTTTGCAATAGAATTTTGGACCAGGATTGGCTTCCAAACTATGCTCGTAGACCAACCCCTTAAAATCCCACTTTCAATGAGCACAGAGAAACTTTCCACTTTCAGCAGATGAATGTGAAAACATCCTTCTAGTGTCAAACTCTGCACAGACATCATTCTGCACAGTGAGGCTGGGTGAGTTTGGGGAAACAGCTGAAACTGCGGTGCATTGGTTGAGTAAGACTACATCATGTCACCAGAGTAACAACATCAGTAAGATGTAGCCCCCTCATCAAAGTAGTGAATGACATTGAAAAGGTTTTAAGAAGAAACCGCTCAGAAACCACAACACTACTTCTTGGTAAGAAGTACAAAAGCACGCTTCCTATTATACAGAGGTCACCTGCACACTTCCTGTTGTGACAGCTCTGCAGAAAACTGCCTGTTCTACAATCAGCAGCAATAAAGTGAAGTCTGACTGAATTCAATCAGCAGTGAAATCTCACATTGTGCCAAAACCTCTATCCAAGCATATACTGTAATGTTTAATGTGTTAGTGGTTTTGCAGCATGCAGCACAGAGCATACTTTTTCACTTTCATTATTATTTTAAGAGTATCTCAGATGGGTGAATGTATCCACATAACACCATAAGATCATCTAACATTTCTACATTCTTATACCTTTTGGCAAAAGTCCACATTATTCAGGTTTTTACAGTCGGATTTCACCGCACAGGATGTCTCTGTAATGTAAAGCCCTCCAGGATGCTTCTGGCTTACAACAGTGCCAGCTACACATTCTGCTGTCTTTGTCTACAGTCTGTTGCAGATGAAGATGACTCATGTCCTACTTCACACTGACACAGTACATACATTATCTTCAGCCACAGCAACATGCCATGTTATAAAGAATTCTAATACAGACATTCATTCCTTCACAATCTGAAGCTTTCAGGCAACCGTACAAGCAAATTACTTCAAGATATGACATAGACTTTTTTGATGTTTTGTAGATATGCCACCGGTGACACCTTTCACCTTTGAGTGGAGGGCACATTTCTGGCCCAAGCTACAGAGGTCGACCTATCAGGTGAGGCAAAAACGCGTCCATGAACAGACAGGTATCCCTTAGCAGAGTGAGGGATCCTGCAGGGACTGACAGACTGAGACCTCTGAAGTCTCTTCACGGCGGCCGTCCGGTCTGAGGATTCTCTCACTGAGTGCAACAAGCCGTTGGAATTCATGGATGTCGCAGATGATACACCTGAGAAACAATTATTTTTTTTTATAGCTATAACTGTTCTGTCTTGTCTGTCTATGTTTCAGTGATGTACTGTATCTGCATTTATATTGTTGGTATTTTCTTTTTGTTATATGAGAAAACAGATCCAAACCTGAGGGGGGGTAAGGGATTTGGGAGTCAGCAGGTTGATAGTCCTCAGTGTCTAAACTTCGGCTGTTCCTAACAGCCTGGAGGGAGCGGAGGCTCGTCCGCAGAGGTGACCTGGTTCTGCCTGGTGATGCTGCAAAACACATCAGAGTTCTGGTTCACACACACACTTTCAACTGCGCAAAGTTCCCGCCCAACAAGGCCTCTGATAATGCAATGGGTTGTTAATGAAAATAGTATAAAAAATGTCTAGAAAACCTGTGCGTGCTCTGTGTACCTTGATTCTGAGCAAGTTTAAGCAGCTTGAACTGGGTGACCTGCTGGTGAAGTCGAGCCAGTTTTGGACTTTGGCAGCCTTTAGCTACTGATGTTGGTGCCTGGCAAGAGAAAGAGCTCAGTGACGACAGACCAGGCTGCCAACAAGAGGAAGACGACGCCCCAGTTTTATTTCCTGCAGTGAAGTCATCAATATTATTAACAGTGTGGTTAAAGTAAGATGGAGACATCGCCGATGGCTCAAGGCCTCTCCTAGGTGAAGCAGTAGTAGGTGTGGAGACGTAGTCCTGTCTTAAACCTGAAAAACATGGACCAAAGTTATCACAATCCAGCTTTCACTGAGCATGCAGAGTATGTACAGTAGCTCATTAAACACACTCTTTGATATACTCACTGGCTTCCTGTATACGAGCCATAATGTGGACATCTGTCATGTCCTGCAGTCTGTAGCTTGTGGTTATGGAGTCATGGGAGATGCTCATCTCACTGGTATCTGCAGATTAATAGATGCAAAATGTGTATTCAAAATATATGATATTAAAGACAGCTGGATGAAGATAAGGGTCATCTATGTGTAATATGTGTCTACATGTTTATTAATGATTTTGTTTCAGTGTTGACGAGTTTTGAACTGTATCTCAGGGTACTTTGTCTAAAAGGGAAAAAATCTCATTATTATATTACCTAAACTGTTGGAGGTACTGTGTGTTGTGCCGCCAAATGTTTTGTCCATAAAGGAGCCCACTGAAACATTGCCAGTACGATAGGAAACTGCAGGACGTCTGTAGAGGTGACTGCTTGATCCTGAGAATACAGAGTTGGTATAAGATAAACCAAAACCAACCACCAATACAAGATACAAAAATATTTGCAGGACAATGAGTGAGTCTGTGCTGCTCGCTCACTTTGATCCAGCCTATTTATCAGTGAACGACACGCCGCCTCCGTCTCAGGACTGGGGTTATCCAGGACGCGTCGACACCATCCAAGAGCAGATTCACTTCTCCCCACAAACTCCTGCTTCTTTGGAGACTCATACAACCTGTCAGGATTACTCCATTCATCAATAACACATCCCACATTTATGATTGTTCCACCTTTACTAGAATCAGACTGGACCACAAGTCTCAGAGGTCTGATGACACCTACCAGTTCTCTTCATCCTGCACATCGTCATCTACATCAAGGAGCTCTACCAGGTCCAAAGCAGACTCTTCATCCTGTGAATCTTCACTGTCCCAAGGGTCTTTTTCACAGTCATAGTTGTACAACATCCCATCCATGGCAACGCAGGGCAAGGGTGAATTACACCCTGACTTCAAACTATCTAGTCTCATTCTCGCATCCATGGCAAATGACCGATTGTTACGACTCTTGACTCTTGCTTGTTCGTTGTCCGACCAGATGCTGCAGTATGGATCTGCGTTGTCCTCCAGCCTCACAGGGCTGCTTTTCAACTTACTGCAGAGAAGATGATGGTTTGCACTTGTGTCAAACTCCACTGGTGGCTGATTGCAAAAAAAACTTCTCCAATCGCTCTTCAGTTGGTCTTGCAGCTCCATTTTTTCAGTGAAATCCTCGAAAACCTTCTCACTTCTTCAAGCTCTTGTGTAGTTAGGTTTAATTCCAGCTTCCCCCCTCCATCAGGACGATGTGGCCAAACCAGAATCTGACAAAACTGGGCTAAATCTTCATTTTAAAACACTCCTTAAAGTTCCAGTTCAGGTGATTTTGCTCTGCACAAACAGCAACTGTGTAGCTTCACTATACCATCTACTGACCCACATTTGTTGAGTAGGGCTGTTAAGTATAGACACTCAACAGATTGGATGGATTTAGAGAAGCATCAAGAGCTTATGTGGATTAAAGAGTCCCTGAGTTGCAACTAAGGACAAAAAAAAGCCACTCAACATCACACCATTGACACTAATATGGATAATGCATCTGTTTATGTTAATTTTGCTTTGCTGTTTGCTTCTTTGGTTCTCATATTGCAGAATGTACCTGACATCACATCTGAGGAAGTAGCACTGAGAAGTGTGGTCACTACTTCCCCCTCTCTCTCTCACATACACAGGCAGATTACACACAATTTACAGCTTCCCTTACAGCCACGTGAAACCTTAAATCTACCTCCTTTCTCGCCCAGTCCCCTGAGATCAAGAGCTACTTTAACAGCCAGTGACAAAAGTAAGGTGTTTAAACCATTTAATATTTTAAATTATGTTATTTTGAATTTATTGAGCTACTAACGGACCAAAAGGATTAAATCAACTGCATTTATTGTATTATAGCATGCAAAACTGTGAAGCAGCTGGAGAATGCTGAGCCTTTATTAAGTCCGTATATGTTCCAAGTCTGGTCTTTTACACAGAGATGGATATTTGTCTATTTCTCTTAGATCTTCAGTACAAGATCAATATAATAACCTAATTTATTTATATACATTGTGGAATTTTCTGAATTATATAGAATAGAATAACTAAATAAAATTATGAACATTTAAATTATAAATAAATAAAAAGTAGGCTAGTCAATTTATTGATTAATAATTAGAGTTAGCATGTCCTGGCTGGCTAGCATGTTAGCAGTTAACTCACTATCTAACCGTAGTTCATTTATCTGACACTTTCTGGTGTGACCAGACCAAACTGGCAAGAAAGACCAGAATATTTCCTCAAATGTGAAAACAGGACCACATTTACCCTTTCATATGTTCCCAGAGTCCTCTAAGCTCCTGAACTCCCTAACCCCAGAACAGGGGGACACAGGGCCCTTGGTCATGTTCCCATATGTGCTATGGGAGTCAGAGGACCCTGGAAACATTATAAAACTATTCCTCTGAAAGAAGAAACAGAAATAGAGTTTCAGAAAGAATGTCACACTATTGTTGAAGTATGAACAACTTTAACCTCAAAGCACAAGTGTTGTTCCCCAGTTTCCTAACTTGCAGTTTGCACTTTTTGAGGCGACACAAAACATTAAACTTGATATTCTTTTCAAAATAAAATGAATCATTTTGAAAAAAGAAAGGAGAAAATAAAGCTTTTATTTACTAATAACTTGGCCACCCCCGGTATCTATGTCGACTCACTCGCCCCTCCCAAAACAACCTTACATCAACCCTAAACAAAGCAGGTGAGGAGGAGGAGGTGTCTTCTCCTCCTCCGTGTGTGCTCCGCACTTGCGCCCTGCCTCCCTGCCCTTCACCTCGCCGCCCACCGGGCCTGGTTTCCTCATCGTCATCGCTGATGTCTCCCTGCTGTGTCACACTCGGTCGACCGAACTCGCCACTGAAACTACAGCAGCAACTTGGTGTGCTTAAAAAGAGGACTTTAACCGAGTGAAAAAATGTGGATTTACGAGAGACAGATAAACCAGTGAAGCTCCACCTGTGCCGGGCGGGGAAATGCAGGACGAAAGCGGCAAAGCGGCACTGGGGAGCCCCGCTGGAGCCAGTGCGCCCACCGCGCAGGTAGGAGCAGGGATTTTTGTTTGTTTTCACCGCTGTGTCCACAACAACCCAGTCATATGTGTGGCTTTGAGACAAGAGTGTAAGAGCAATGTGGGAGCTCTCTAGGAGCGTTTTAATTTCACCTTCCTGGGCTCCCAGAGGTGTACCGGCCCTGGCAGGACAGGTAAAATATTTTTAGATGAAGCAGTCTAACCTGTCTGTCCACATTGCTCTCACCTCTCTCGGCTTCAGCTTCACCAGCAGGCAGTAGAGATAAAGGCTGAACCCAACAGATGTGTTTGCCCAGACATTTCTCAAGTTTTTTTTTTTTTTTTTTTTCTACACCACAGACACAGATGTTGCTTTTAGTTATTCAACATTATTAAAGGCCGGTTGGCTGTAAAATGATTTGGGTTTAACTTTGTGCCATTCACATGCTGCCCTTTTGTTCACATTTAGCTCTGTTTACACCACAGTTATTTAACTAGTTATAGAAAGTGAAAGGACTTGCTTATTTAGATCTGAAGCAGTCAGTTGATGGTGAGCAAAGTAATCACCAGCAATATGTTGATTGATTGTTGCATCATTTGTCAAGCAGAAATACCAAACATTGCTTTCATTTCTAGCTTTTTTTGTGTGTGTGTGGATTTGCTGGATTTGTTGATATAAAAACAAGTCTGTATTATATGTTTATGTGGTTTAGGTTTCATGTCTTCTGCACTGCTGTTATCTTGGCCCAGATATGTTTAATATCAATGGAGCTCTTGTCTGGTTAAGTCAAGTTATAAATATATGATTTATTTACAAATGATCTTTAACCAGATGATAATGAATGAAGCTCTTTTAGCACAGTCTTTGATGAGTTCCCTGAACACAACTACTACTGTGTCCTACTTTGACGTCTCTATGCCTCCATATGTTAACACATGAACATATATTCTCTTCGTACATGTAAAACTTGGGATACCAGAATCACAGAATAACTGATGAATTTACTGTATTTATCTTCAAACACAAACAATGACAGTAACCAAACATAAAGCAGAAGCAATGCAGTTATCAGACTTCCTCTCTGTGACCTGACATGAGAAAACAGTTCCTCTCATGTTCAGCGATGGATGGCTTGCAGGAAGGAGGGGAAGTTGCTTGGTTTTAACACCTCATGAGTTACATAGACAGAATGGGTAAACCGTACGCATGTTTTATAGTGGAAATAAAAGACCACGTAAAGTACCTCTGAGCAAATGTTTAGTCTTTTTATTTACTTAAACAATAATGAATTATTAAAATATTGATTACTTTTCTGTTGTTTGACTAACTGAATAATCGACTATCAGCACTTTTCTTTAGGGGTGTGAGAAAATATCGATACATTTGAGTATTGTAGTGTTTTGTTTTGATAGTTTTGATTCTGTGTTTAAACCCCCTAACACCGAGATTACAGTGTTCTGTATGTAAACTACTATGATGGTGCATGTTACAGTGACTCTGATGAATACAAATCCAGATCAAACTGTTCTGGTTGCATACAAAAGTAAACTTTTTGTTAAAGATGCACAGTTATCATCCAATAATGGAACATTTTTATTATTCGGAATTATTGGGATAATTAAGTTACAGATGATAAACGGTCCATAATAGTAATTATTTATTTTGAAGTCTTGTGCAAAACATTTCATAGCCTTAATGTTCTATGAAAGTATGTGTGAAGATTTGAAGAGTCAGAGCTGTTATTTGTTGTTAGTGATATATAGATTTATATAGATTTATAGTGACGTCAGTTGTTTGTTAGGTCAGAGCGTTGGAATATTTAATCATCCATCTTTGCTCACGACGTCTCAGCCTTTTCTTCAAGTGTGTAAAAACTACAGGTTATTAGGATATTAGGATATTGTGCATCCATACATTTTTTAATACTAAATTTGAATGCATCTGCCGGTGTGTTATTTATACTATGGCTCTTTTTTCTAAAATTAGATTATCTTAAAATTGCACATATCACCTTGCTTACAGTGTCGCATTATATTGAATCACAACCCCTGTATCATGATACGTATTGCCAATAAACAGTCCTACTATTCTATATAATCCACTGACAACTTGACTACCTTGTCATGAGGAAGCAAAATAAATTGGTCGGTTCCAGATTTGCAGTCATGTATGTATTACTGTACGTCTCTTATTTCACTGTTAAAAAAGTGTTTTTATTTTTTTCTAGAATTCAGTACATTTGAACGGGCACACTGTCACTAAAAATGGCCACAACCCGACAGCTACGCCTGCACCACAGCCACAGTTTGAATCCCAAGCCTCGAGTCCTGCACCCACTCCGACCCCAGTCATCCCAAGGGAGCAGTGGGGAGGGAAGTACGAGTTCCTGCTCTCCTGTATTGGATACTGCGTGGGACTGGGGAACGTGTGGCGTTTCCCCTACCTTTGTTATCGCAATGGAGGAGGTGAGCAGTCTTCAAGCATGTTCACTGCCCTCTTAAGTCTCAAATGCTTTAAATGCCTGGGTGTATGTCTGTAATGATTTGTTACACCAATTTGGACAAGAGGCACTCTTTGCCCTGCCCATGGGTGTGCACTGCCTTCCTAATCATGCTGGCTTATTTTGCACACTGTCCGGAGCTCTCCATGGCAGCCTTCGTTACTGGGAGCTAGAACACAAAGCATTTGCTAATCCTTTAAGTAGAGACAGAGTTTTCCTTGATTACACACCAGACATGAAGTCTTTCTAACCCAGCTGCTAGTGATATGCATCTTGAAATCAAACATCAAACATGTTGGAGCTTGACTAAGAGTAAAGCAGAATTACATCCGTCTGTAAAGCTGCCACATAGACAGAAGTTGTATAAGTTACCCTGCCTCTACAGACTGTCTGTCTGCACAGAACAAGTCATTGCATTGGATTTGTCCCCCCAGCACCACATTTCCTCAAGCTCTTTCTCTCTCTAACTTCACAGGTGTGTTTCTCATCCCCTACTTCATAATGCTGTTTTTTACGGGTGTTCCACTCTTCCTCATGGAGCTGAGTTTAGGCCAGTATGGAGCAGCGGGCCCTATCACTGTGTGGAAATGCTGTCCTCTGCTCAAAGGTAAAGACCTCGCTGTATTGTGATCTTTAGCCCAGTAATTACACAATTACACACACTGTAATTCAGTGATACAAGTTTGAAACCTTTCAGAGATAATTATGTCTGTGTTGGGACGTAATGTGGGCTGATACTTAATTCTAATTAGCTGTACAGTGTTAAATAGTATAAAAATATCTGATCGCACTTCTATGTAAAATCTTCTGGAATCTTGAGCATCCAATTTGAACCATATGTATTGATCTGACTAAGCAGGATCTCAAGCTGACACCAAGACGGCCTGCTTCACCAGTCAGTCAGCATTATGGTCCAGGAAAATAACTGCCTGACTCAGTTTGCCACCTCACTACACAACGTCATGTGGCTAACCCTGAAAATTCCTGAGAGCTTGGCAACTCAGTTGCTAAATATACACATCTGACAAAGAAACCTGAACCAAAAATAGGTCATCAAAAGAAGGTTTTATTACAAGCCTAGTTTATTTCAAACTGGAAATACCAGCAGCAGGTTGGCAGGCTGAATTAAGAGCGTTGAGATAGAGCTCCATCAAGTGTTACAAAAGGAAACAGACACTCTAAGGTGTTGATTAAATATATGTATTTTGTTTCAAT